AGTAGTAGCTATACTAACTCTATAGCAGTTTGTACTGGCTGTAGTAGTAGCTATATTAACTCTATAGCAGTGTGTATTGGCTGTAGTCATAGCTATACTAACTCTATAATAGTGTAGTGGGCCCAACTGAGTCGCAAACGTACTTGTTAGAGGCAACACATTTATTACACCAACACGAATACACAAAGGGGTAGCTGCCCCTTTACCAGTTAACAGCCAAGGGTGGTGGATCACACGGCTAACTGTACTAACACACTGGGAGTTAGCTACAATGGACCAGACCCCGCCTCGGATTCCGGACCGACGTGTTGGAGACTCTTCTTGACGTAGACCGTAGATCTTCAGATGGCGGTAGCAACGCCGACCCCGGAACTGCAGAGACCCGGCTTATATGCTCCCAGGTCGGGACCGGCTCCGCCCTTGGCCCCGCCCACCTTTGAGAGAGCTCTGGCTCTCGACTATTCTTGAGACAACTTTCCCCTGGACACGTGACCACCCCTGAGCCCCCATCTGGGGGCCGCCTGTAGACTTTACCAGTGACGTGCCTTCGGGGTCAACCAAAGTGCCATGGCCCAGGGTAACCCTGTCCCTGTGTTGACACTTTCCCACTCCCTCCGTTAGGAGACAGCAATGCATGCCATGCGTGGTGCCGCTCACCAAGCCCTCACTAGGGCTGGTAGTACACCCACCTACGGGGTGTCCACGATGACGGTTCATCGCACGCCATGCCTTGCTAGAGCCGGCATTACTCGGTGACATGCACGATGCTGCTGCATACGTGATGTCCGCGATGTGAGTACATCGCACGCCGTGCCCCTCTAGGGCAGGCACCATACAGTGACATCCGCGATGTCACTACAATAGTAATCTTTGGTTCTTTCGATAGTCACGTAGATTGAAAAATAATAAGAAAAATAAAGTGATGAAAAATAAAAAAAAATGAAATAATAAAACAAATAACCATTATTGTAGACTGTAGCCTTGTTTTTGATCGGAGTGAGTGTACTGGCAGTCTATAATGTAGACTGTAGCCTAGTTATTAAGTTTGGTGAGTGTACTGGCAGTCTATAATGTAGGAGGCTAAGTCACTCTCCATTACTTGTGTGTGTATACACACACTCTCTATGTTTCAATTTAATCTGAATTCAAAACCCACATCTCCATTACCCTTCCCGCACTTCTGTACTCATGGCCAACGCTCGCCCCTGACTCTGAATTGCTAGCCCCATGCTCTCCCCTAACACTGTCACTTGAACCTTCATGGTTCGCCAACTAGGCGGCATCAGTATGACTTAAAGTCCTGGCTAGATGCATGCAGCAATGTGTGAACATTTATGCTGTGCCATTCTGAGTGTTGAGTATGTAACATTATCACACAAAAATAACACACTAAAAGCAACAAACATCAAAAACATGCATGGTAGATAAATCGTTCTCACAGTCGATTCATTCACACCTTGCAACGGATGCAGCACTCCCACGGCACTACTTTTCCACGCGGATATGAGAATCATAGCAGCGTAAAACCGCGTATGGCCAAAACATCACCCCCATGTTCTGGAAAACAGACCTGATTAGGTAAACTTTGCGGATCCGAAACACGCGTTCAATAAAGCCGTGTTGGGCAAGGTTTTCCTGTACTTTGCCATTTAATCATATTTGTATATATAATCATAAATAAATGATCACTGCAACCCTGGCTAGATTTTTTAAACCCTTCAACTGGATTGAGGTCAAGGATATGACACCTAAACAAAGCATTGTGCAAATTTGCTCTGCCAGGAACCCACTCTTTGTGTAATCTTGGAAAATAAACAAATATGTTCCCTTTTATTAACTGTGGCAGAATTAGTGAGTCCAGAGCTCAACCCTTGTCTCACAAGAGCACTCAAGGGTCCTGTGCTAAATGTCGCAGCAGTTTTGTGCCTCTTAAGCGTACTCCATCAGATCAATACCCCAGACATAATCTTATTTCCATGTTGCACAAGCATTTTTAAAACAAATTGAGTGCTCTATGATGTACAGTGAGGGAAAAAAAGTATTTGATCCCCTGCTGATTTTGTACGTTTGCCCACTGACAAAGAAATGATCAGTTTATAATTTTGATGGTAGGTTTATTTGAACAGTGAGAGACAGAATAACAACAAAAAAATCCAGATAAATGCATGTCAAAAATGTTATAAATTGATTTGCATTTTAATGAGGGAAATAAGTATTTGACCCCTCTGCAAAACATGACTTAGTACTTGGTGGCAAAACCCTTGTTGGCAATCACAGAGGTCAGACGTTTCTTGTAGTTGGCCACCAGGTTTGCACACATCTCAGGAGGGATATTGTCCCACTCCTCTTTGCAGATCTTCTCCAAGTCATTAAGGTTTCGAGGCTGACGTTTGGCAACTCGAACCTTCAGCTCCCTCCACAGATTTTCTATGGGATTAAGGTCTGGAGACTGGCTAGGCCACTCCAGGACCTTAATGTGCTTCTTCTTGAGCCACTCCTTTGTTGCCTTGGCCGTGTGTTTTGGGTCATTGTCATGCTGGAATACCCATCCACGACCCATTTTCAATGCCCTGGCTGAGGGAAGGAGGTTCTCACCCAAGATTTGACGGTACATGGCCCCGTCCATCGTCCCTTTGATGCGGTGAAGTTGTTCTGTCCCCTTAGCAGAAAAACACTTCCAAAGCATAATGTTTCCACCTCCATGTTTGACAGTGGGGATGGTGTTCTTGGGGTCATAGGCAGCATTCCTCCTCCTCCAAACACGGCGAGTTGAGCTGATGCCAAAGAGCTCCATTTTGGTCTCATCTGACCACAACACTTTCACCCAGTTGTCCTCTGAATCATTCAGATGTGCATTGGCAAACTTCAGACGGGCATGTATATGTGCTTTCTTGAGCAGGGGGACCTTGCGGGCGCTGCAGGGTTTCAGTCTTTCACGGCGTAGTGTGTTACCAATTGTTTTTTTGGTGACTATGGTTCCAGCTGCCTTGAGATCATTGACAAGATCCTGCCGTGTAGTTCTGGGCTGATTCCTCACCCTTCTCATGATCATTGCAATTCCACGAGGTGAGATCTTGCATGGAGCCCCAGGCCGAGGGAGAGTGACAGTTCTTTTGTGTTTCTTCCATTTGCGAATAATCGCACGAACTGTTGTCACCTTCTCACCAAGCTGCTTGGCAATGGTCTTGTAGCCCATTCCAGCCTTGTGTAGGTCTACAATCTTGTCCCTGACATCCTTGGAGAGCTCTTTGGTCTTGGCCATGGTGGAGAGTTTGGAATCTGATTGATTGATTGCTTCTGTGAACAGGTGTCTTTTATACAGGTAACAAGCTGAGATTCGGAGCACTCCCATTAAGAGTGTGCTCCTAATCTCAGCTCGTTGCCTGTATAAAAGACACCTGGGAGCCAGAAATATTTTTGATTGAGAGGGGGTCAAATACTTATTTCCCTCATTAAAATGCAAATCAATTTATAACATTTTTGACATGCGTTTTTCTGGATTTCTTTTGTTGTTATTCTGTCTCTCACTGTTCAAATAGACCTACCATTAAAATTATAGACTGATCATTTCTTTATCAGTGGGCAAACGTTCAAAATCAGCAGGGGATCAAATACTTTTTTCCCTAACTGTAACTTTTTTATTTTTCAAAAGTTTAGAAAAGCTATGCTTGTAAATGAATAGCTTGATTGCAAATAACCCATCGTCATTTAGATTGTAGCTGCCATTATTGTACATTTAGCCACATAATGGCATATCCTTATCGTTTTTAATGGAATTTATTTATTCAGCATGTATGTGCATGTATCTGTGCATGTATTTGTGTGGCTGGACAAACAACCACAGTTTCCTTGCTGGTTACCAGTCAGTACCAATGTGGTGTGCTGTAGGCAATGCCATTCGAGGGAGGCCTATATTAATCAGCTGTTCCCCTCGTGGCGTGCACGCAGCCACGACAGCGGTCAATGGGGGCCTTGGACGGGTGTGAGGGGGCTGCTAACACCTCACACCTTCAAAATGACCACCCCCAACCCCACCCAGGGTTAATCCAGAAACAGCAGGAAACCACTGCAGATGGTCCACGTGGAATGTTTGAACGCTCACTGCAGAGGAGAGGCTGCCATTCCTCCTATGCTCCTATGTTAGCGGCTTGACCAGTACCGCCTCAACCTCTGTAGAATACAGGAGGTCAATTGGGCTGGTTTTGGCTACAGTTACGCTGAGGAATGGACGGTTCTCCACTAAGGGTAGGACACTGCCAACCAACAGAGAGTGGCTCCAATCTGAGCAAAATAATTAAAGGAGTGTGGGAGCGTGGTGGTGAGGTCTGGGAAGCTGTGAGTTCCAGAGCTCCTCCAGCAGGCGAGGCTATTTTGTCTGGGTCACGTAGCCCACATGCCCAGCCACCACAATACCAAGCAGTTTTTTGTTGGCTGGATAGAGGGGGATAAATGGGAATTGCATAGGTTAGAGAAGGAATGGGCTGATGTAGTACATGAGGGTGTGAAATTGAATTGACTTGCCGATAACTGATACCAGCGGTGTCAACATCGATTTCTGTGGAGGAGGCTACTGGACAGTTGGAGTCAGTTGCCCTCCAACAACAATGGAGAGCAGAGGAGTAACGCTCACACAACGAGCAGAGCGCCGAGCAGCTAAAACACATGGAAGTGGCACAGTGGGGAAAACAGGTGGTGCATGTTAGTGATCTGAGTCAGTCAACCCATAACACCTGGATATGTCCCGTGATCTCCTGTCAGCGAGCCTTTGATGTTTCACGTGGCCTCAAATTGCACATAGCCTTGCACGTCATCACCGCTTAGTGGCAAATGGTGACTGTTGTTGTTACATACAGTCATGAGTCAAGGTGGACCTTCCTTGATGTAAGATCTGTGGTGATATCACCGCATCTTCTTGGCAAATTGCAGATGTTGTTATGCTTGCCATCTTTTTGCGTCTTTGTGATTCTATAAGCGTAACGCTTTAAATATTTTTGTCGCAGGGTAAAATGCAAGAGAGGCATATCGTTCATTGGTGTCCTGCCCAGCGAAACCAATGTTTTTGACATTAACACTGAAATCAACAATGGAGAGAAGTTTTCGACTGCCACACTGCAGATCACCCTGAAAAGTGGAGCTACACGAGACGGGTGAGTGTTTCCAATCGGAATTAATCAACCACGTGAATGAATGTAAACCGTATGGACAACTCTGTATTTCGGCTATAAGAAATGCAGTTTATTAATATCCCATTTATCAAGCAGGTTCTTTCATGATTTACGCTTCTGGGTGGTTATGAGTTCATTACCATGAATGACAATGAAATGAAAAACACTATCTCTTCTAATATTAACAATTATTGTATCCCTTTCATCCCACTAATATTATTGCAATTGTTATCCATTATTCATATTGTATGCGGGACATTAAAACATTTATAATGATGTTTCGTGTTCAGATGCGTGCCCTTTATTCGAGTAAATTATTGTAACTGAAGGAAACTACAAAAATCAATTGTAATGGTCTCTTCTTGATGATTCTTCTTTTTACTCAAGAACAATGACTCGGGCATTAGTAAAGTGGTTACTTTTTCCATGCACAATTTGCCGTTATGCCTTTCCAATTCATTTGAAACTTCCCTTTATTAATTTCGCAATCTTAAATGTTTCCTCAATACCACACAAGGTGGAGTGCTTTACATTATCTGCCTTTAAGAAACTTCTATAATTGACTTAAGTGAACATTTTGTACAATTATATACACACACATTTACTTGCTTGGGACTTAACATTTTACCATTTAGTGCTGTAGATGAAGCACATGACACACAATCCCAAGGAGGAATGTTAATGTCCTATGAATAAAATTACATATTTTTCTGTAGGGAAAGCCAATGGTGGTTACGCTGTGAAGAAACTTAGTTAGCTCTTGGGGTTGTGGAATTTCCACCTACAAAAACTAGCACCACCCCAAAGTTAGTTTGAGCACACAGAACAGTTCGATATGGCTTTTTGACTCGCTTTGCTAAACCCTGTTTGTTTGGTATGCTTCTCTCTCTGTGTCCCCTGTTGTATCTGTGTCAGTTCCCCCTACTTGGGTGTCTGTATATACATCTGAGGTTATGTGTCTCCCCTCTCTCATAATTTAGCTCTTCTGTACCCGATGATGGCTGCTTGTGTTGCAACCGAAACGTCGTACGCTATTATGTTATTTTATTATTTCTTATTTATACGCGACTTTACCGAAAAAAACAAAGAGTAATCCCTGCAGTCACGAAAGCTTCAAATCAAGTCCAAGCTGAATATTGCTATTGTTCAAATTATACCTGTTCCCATTGCTATTTTGTAGAGTAATTGAGCACATGAAAGCACCCAGTAATCTGAATTATTGTATATTTTCTCTAAATATTACTGCAGTGTTTATTTTTAACCAACGAGTAAAGAATTGTAACATTGAAACCATAAATACAGTTGACTGTATTATTAATAAATATCCCACTTAATGTGTGTTGCCATGAATGATATGACAAGTCAAAAGAGCTCGGTTTGCACATTTGTTTAATCAGAGTGGAGTCAATCCCTGGTTAAATCCTTTTTTTTGCTGAGCGAGCGAAACATTGTCACGCCAATTGAGGCTGCATCTCCAGCAGGGTATTCGTCGGGTTTTTTTTAGATCACAGAAGTATTTAGTTAACATAATAAGGAATTTATTTTACGATCAAATAATATTGAGGCAAGTTTTGTCAGAGTTTAAAGAGAAATCCTCTAATTTCTGGTTGCTGCATGCAACTGCCATCTAATAAAGGTAATGCATTTCTATGACAACATCCACACCATATATTATCTGGATGGATTGAAAACAACCTCAAAGTCACAGATACATTAAACCCTGAATACTAGGCCTCCTTAGATAACTACTCGATGAAATTATCATGTCAATTGATACTATTTTACATACGTATGGATAATAGTAACCAGCGAGCACAAACAAATTACTTCGTGCATGCAGAGCGTCCGTTGATTGTGTTTTGTTTTCGCTTGCAGTTTCTTGCTAGTTATGATTCCTCACAAAATGGACAATTGGTTAAAATATTGATATTCATTAGTCATAACGTTTATTTCTCAGAACCTTGTCAGGTCAGGCAAGGGGGCACTCGGTTGAAATAAAATTCAACACGGGGGTGAAATAGCCCAAAAAGTTTGAGAACCACTGCTGTAATGGTTAGCACACTGTCACTCCGGTTCAATCTACTGGTGCAGCAGTTGAAACAATGGGTGAGTTTTTTTTATTTATTTCCCCGCGTTTATCCACCCAGCAGAGCACATAGGAGGTAGACGACACTTAGTCGATCGGCAGGCAACGTGTGTTGGGGATAAAGGGCGGGTACTCCCACCTCTTCAACTCGTCAGCCTGGAGAAGTGGGCGAGAATACCTTGTAGATAAGGTCTCTAGAGCTCCCTCTATTTGATATACCAGCAGTGGCTTGAAAAAGTTAATTCAATGCTGTACCTTTACCTTTGCTTTCCTTCACTACAATTACTGTTGTAGTGTAGTCGTGAATTTTGTGTAACTAATTAAGAGCCTACCTACAGACTGTTACTTTAAAGGAAGCCCTGGATTTGTTAAACAAAACTGCACATTCCAAAGTGAAGCAAATTTAGCGCATACATTTATTTTACATATACAGTGACTAATACACAACAAAGAAACATTCAATGATAAAAACCCATTTTACTATTTAAAAACACGTATTCTTTCATTATATTTTAATAGCAATACATTGTTTTTAATATTGTATAATAATTATATTTACATTTCTTGCATTCGTATTCATATTTCCTTCATGACACACACAACATTTTCATAAAGGTCATGGTTCACTTCTGTAGGATTATGCTCTCCTGGTGAGGGAGGAACAGCTGCCCTTAGTGGAGGAGTTTAACTACCTCGGGATCTCTTTCGCCAGTGATGGTATGTTGGAGTGGGAGATCGGCCGGCGGATCAGTAAAGTGTCCGCAGTCTTGCGGGCACCGTATCATTCCTTGGTAGTGAAGCGGGAGATGAGCTCTCGAACAAAGCTCTCAGTTTACAGGTCGATCTAGGTTCCCACCCTCACCTATGATCATGAGCTTTGGGCAATGACCGAAAGGATGAGATCCTGGGTACAAGGGGCCGAAATAAGGATTCTCCACAGGGTTGCTGTGCTCACTCTCCGTGATTGGGTGAGGAACTCGGTAATCCGGGAGAGCATCAGAGTCAATCTCAAGGGTGGAAAAAGCCCGACTATTTTTTTGCAAATTTTATTGGGTTATTCGTTTTATTGAAAAAAAAACGATTTTGTAAAAAAAAAGCATGGTTTTAATCTGGCAAGTCAAGTTGTCGTCAATTGGCGCCAGAGTCATCGGATTCGCTGTCCTCTTCGATCATCTCAACCGCACCGTCCAAGAAGGCGGGAATGTTGCTCTTTAATGAAGACGAGCTTCTCCACCGACTTCACACTCAGGTTGTTCCTCAGCTCAGAGTGAACAAAGGCCGTGGTGGAGAAGCTCCTCTCGGATGCGGCACTGGACGTGACAATGCTGTACAGCTTGACGGCGATTTTTTGCAGCTCAGGCCACTCACTGACATTGGACAGCCATCGGCGTCTTGTGACCTTTGACCATAATCTTGTAGCGGGACGTGTTGTTTGTCTCTCTTTGGTGGGGGCTATAATTATAGAGATTAACTGGCAATAAACCGAATAAAACCGGATTTTTCACCATCTGAGATGATCGGGTTATTTATTAATACCATGAAAACCCGATAGAAAAAAACCCGATGTTGCCAGCCTTGCTCAATCTGCTGCTCCTCCACATCTAGAGGAGCTAGTTGAGGTGGTTCGGGCACCAGGTAAGGATGCCCCCTGGTAGACTCCCCCTGGAACTCTACCGAGCACGTCCCATTGGGCGAAGACCTCGGGGCCGGCCCAGGACACGCTGGTGGGACTGTCGCTTGGCTAGACTGGGAACGCCTGGGAATTCCCCAGGAAGAGCTAGAGTCAGTCGCCAGGGAAAGGGAGCTCTGACCCTACTCAACATGATGCCGCCGCGACCCTCACCAGGACAAGCGGATTGAGAAACAAACGAACGAACATTTGAAAATCTTAATATGCGGTCGTTATCACCTTGTTTTAGTTTTTACATAAACTGTCAAATGTGAAATGCATTCACACACAATATTGGATTTTAAAAACCCTTAACAAATATATTATAGAATTGTAAGAACAGAAGAATTATCTAGAAAATATGCTAATGCTTGTAAATTCTGGGAACATCAAAACCTCTGAGCACTCCATAGTTAATAAAGAATTAAAGCTTTCGTGACTGCATAAATTACTCATTGGTTTTTTTAGTAAAGTCACGTATGTAGAAATACCGTAAAATTATATTAAAATAAATCAATCACGACGTTTCGACTGCAACGCAAGCGATCTTCATCAGGTGTAAAAAACAAATCACGGAGGTAAATACAACAAGAAGATGAGAGACGAGAATTCAACAAACCTTAGAAAAAATATGTGATGCACAACCAGTCAGGCCAACAACACAGTTAGACACTTACCTGGTGGACCACGAATTTCAGAAGAGTGTTAAATTTCGTGTTCAACCTCTGGATTGAACATACCAGCATAGACAGAGTGAACAAATACGAGGTACAAGTCAGCAGAAATACGTATACAGAGACACCAAGAGGCAAGGAGAGGAAAGATGGACAGAGAAGCAATGAAAAAAAAAAACACTCTTCTGAAATTCGTGGTCCACCAGGTAAGTGTTTAACTGTGTTGTTGGCCTGACTGGTTGTGCATCACACATTTTTTCTTAAGTTTGTTGAATTCTCGTCTCTCATCTTCTTGTTGCATTTACCTCCGTGATTTGTTTTTTTACACCTGATGAAGATCGCTTGTGTTGCGGTCGAAACGTCGTGATTGATTTATTTTAATATAATTTTATGGTATTTCTACATACGTGACTTTACCGAAAAACCAATGGGCACTCCATAGTTATTTGAATTTTGTTAAACTACAATTAATTTAACAACGACAGTACACTTCATAGTAAAATATAATTTCTAATTGGAGATAATATTGGACATATAACGCACATCTTAAGAA